TATATATATATATATATATATATATATATATATATATATATATATATATATATATATGCACTGTATATAATTTATTCATCTATTTATTTTATTTAGGTTAATGTATATTATATATGTATATACTTCTTTATTAATATTTATTTATTGATACATTTTGTTTAGTTATCTATTTATATTTTTATATTTATTTGTTTGTATTTTTTATTCATTGATATTTATGCATTTATGATAATTGTTTGTATTTTTTATTCATTGATATTTATCTATTGATGTTTATTTGTATTTTCTATATTACTATGTGTTATACAAATACATTTGCCAGACACTTTTATCAGTGTCTGTGTCTCGCTGACGGGGTGGAATATCTGCTGATCCCGGGGATAATGGCACTCTGGGGAAGTCGTGGCCTAATGGTTAGAGAGTCGGACTCTTAACCCAAAGGTTGTGGGTTCGAGTCTCGTACCGGCAGGGATTGTAGGTGGGGGGAGTGAATGTACAGCACTCTCTTCAATACCACGACTGAGGTGCCCTTGAGCAAGGCACCGAACCCCCAACTGCTCCCCGGGCGCCGCAGCATAAATGGCTGCCCACTGCTCCGGGTGTGTGTTCACGGTGTGTGTGTGTTCACTGCTGTGTGTGTGCACTTTGGATGGGTAAATGCAGAGCACTAATTCTGAGTATGGGTCACCATACTTGGCCACATGTCACTTCACTTCACTGACAGACTTCCTGGAGAAAACGAGGTGGAGTGAAATATAGCACTGGATCTTTCTGATAAATAACCTGCCAACATTGTATCATAAATGATTAGATTTTGTGGTTCACGTTCAAGAGAAACATGGCAGGTTTGACTGAAAGAGAGACACTTTGTGTGGTTGCAGGGTTAAACAGCATTTAAAGCAATAAGCTCTGCACCCTCAGTTCATCTGAGCATTGCATCAGTGTCTCACTGCAAGTGAATGGGTGCCGTCAGAATGAGAGTCCAAACAGCTGATAAAAACATCACAATAATCCACAGCACTCCAGTCCATCAGTTAACATCTGGAGAAGACAAAAGCTGAAACACATCCAGCATTAAGACGTTTTTAACTAAAATACCATAGAGTCTATAATCCATAATAACGCTTCCTCCAGTGAGTCAGTGTTCTGGTGTGAATCAGGAGAGAAATCTGCACAGATCAAGCAGCGTTTAAACAGCTCTAAACACATATGTGGCTGGATTTTGATGTGAGAGACAACAGCAGATGCACTTTTTCACTGAGGAAGAGTTATTATGGATTATAGACTCAATGTATTTTAGTTAAAAGCATCTTAATACTGGATTTGTTTCAGCCTTTATTTCAAGCTCCTCCCCTTCCTTCAGTGCTTG